GAGAGAGAGAGAGAGAGAGAACCTCCCTCTTAAGTAAAAATAGAAAGGTAAGCACCTTATCAAGAGTAAGAGCCAAATTCTGAAGCCTCTGGTTATAGACCCCCTCAACTGTGTTACATGAACTCTTTGTAACTAATAAACAAATCATGTTACAACAAGCATATAGATTGATCAACCTTTGCCATGTCTATAACATGGAAGTAAAACATCTCAAATACTTATAAAATCTAGGTAAGAAACATAAAATTTTTAATGGTAACAATCAAAGGCATTGGATTAATAGTATGAGAAAGAATACAGCATAACAAATGAACAAGAATGATATCAATATAAAAAGTGTGAACCCATCCCAAAGCTGCACAATGTAAAGAACTTTTTCACAACTCATAAAGGCAAAAAGATAAAGGTCGTAAAACAAAAAGAAACAAAATATAAGATGTATGATATAGGCATCAATAAAAAAGTGTACAACCATTTGAATGATGTGACTGCTGGCAATTTGTTGGTTGCAGAGCAAGTGGCTAATATTCAACACCAAGGTCTATGAATGATGTGACAAATACAGAATTAGCTCCCAGGTAGTGACTAGTGAGGCCTGCGAAGAGCTTCCAGTGATGTTAAGTCAACAGCCTGGTGACCCAACTGGTCAAACCATTGAACCATATGATCAATCATTTGTTTATTGGGTTGTTAATATTAAACTTTTTTTTGACAAATTTAGTAATGTTTAGAAAATACTGGTCAAAACCAGGCCAAATCAACCTCTGCAAAGTTGATAAAACCTGAAATTGAGTTGATCATCACAAAGAATCAGGTTCTGCTCCAACAAAGTACTGTTCAAGATCCTAAGTCAGTACATACTACAAAGCCTGTATTGCAGAATTCCACTGATCAGAGGAAGAAAAACCACAGAAANCTCCAACAAAGTACTGTTCAAGATCCTAAGTCAGTACATACTACAAAGCCTGTATTGCAGAATTCCACTGATCAGAGGAAGAAAAACCACAGAAAGAAAGCAATACCAGTCAAAGATCCAACTATGAATAATTCAATTGTGAGTTTGCTTATAATCTCTCTCTCTCTCTCCCCCCCCCCCAAGCAATGTTTTGGCACTTGGTTTCTTCTCTGATCTCTTTAGATAGATATTCATTAATAAGCAGAAACAACAGCTGGATCAGACCTTCTTTGACTACAGGTCTACAGCTGCCACTAGAAGTACCAAGGCCAAGGCCACAGTGATTTCAACCATATAATTTCCTGGTCTATTGGCATTTTTTTTTCTGGAGGATGAGGTAATGTTTAATGGCTCATGAGTCCTATTAGACATCACTGTTATGTATTGCAATGCCATCTTTCTCAGGCCTTTGTTCTTACAAACTCTAGTGTCTATCAATTCATGGTGTATATGGCTCTATTGGCCACTTCTTTGGAAGGAACATTGCTTCTTGACTGCATTTTTCTGTGTCCATCTGCTCGGTGTATCCTCGTTGATTTTCTTTCTTTGAGAAAGATTGACCCTTGTAAAATTTAACATATTAAATCACTAAACTGTGACATACAACTGTAAAGAACAGTAAAATGGCTATAATACTGGGAGGTAATGTAAACTAGAAGTCTTTTCCATGTAACATGCTAAATACAGATTTTGAATATTCTTCTCATGATTATTTACGTTTGTTCAACTTTTGTGTCATTGTGTTGAATAAACACATGTATCTGAACTTCTTGCTATAAGTTTCTTTTCTTCAATGCTTCTGATAGTTGTAAAAGCCACTGTATTGGACTTGTCACCCTCACTTATGAAGGAAAAAAAATAATTGACTTTGGTACATTTCATTTATGAATTCTGTGAACTTATATGTCAAGGAGCTTGGAAACTGAAATCATCTCATCAGGCATTGTTTTGGATTAAATGAATTCAATCAAACAATTATCCATGACTATAATACCTGCATTTATTAGGGATTTTTTTTTTGATCAATTATTAGGGATAATTTTTCCTCCTTAGTAGTATTTATTTTGGTGAAGAGGAATTAGGGGTGGGGCAGAGCAGGGTGCACTTGAGGCCCACTGGCCATAGCACAGAGAGCCTGTGTATCCGCTGGTTTGATTCCGTGCCTTCTAAATGGAGGGCTTTCCATGCAACCATCTCGACTACTAGGTCATTGGCCTCCTGGGTAGTATGTGGTTTATTGAAAAAGACCTTGAATCTAAGATGTTAAATGAACTAACATCAGTCCTGAATTTAAGTATCTAACTTCAACATTTATTTGACCATTGGAGAGACCATTTATGCTCCTACGCAACATCACCATCAAGTTGGAACTGGGTACCCTTCTACCATCAATGGTCTAGGATATACTTAGGCAATCACAAATCATGAACATGCTACAAATGATCCTATAGTACAATCAATACAACCTTGTCTTAAAGCTCTTTTTCTCATTCCAATTCACTTGGAGATAAGTAGAAGGGATAGCT